GACGTCACCGCCACTTAGTGGCGAATGGCGGTTGTTGTTGTTCAGGCCCTGTATGTGTGTGATGTGACGAGGTGTGTGTTCAGGCTGTGTGTATGTGTGATGTGACGAGGTGTGTGTTCAGGCACTGTGTGTGTGATGTGACGAGGTGTGTGTTCAGGCTATGTGTGTGTGTTTGATGTGACGAGGTGTGTGTTCAGGCTCTGTATGTGTGATGTGACGAGGTGTGTGTTCAGGCTATGTGTTTGACGAGGTGTGTGTTCAGGCACTGTGTGTGATGTGACGAGGTGTATGTTCAGGCTCTGTGTGTGTGATGTGACGAGGTGTGTGTTCAGGCTGTGTGTTTGACGAGGTGTGTGTTCAGGCACTGTGTGTGTGATGTGACGAGGTGTATGTTCAGGCTCTGTGTGTGTGATGTGACGAGGTGTGTGTTCAGGCTGTGTGTGTGACGAGGTGTGTATTCAGGTGGTGTGTGGCGAGGTGTGTGTTCATGCTGTGTGTGATGTGACGAGGTGTGTGTTCAGGTGGTGTGTGTGTGTGATGTGACGAGGTGTGTGTTCAGGCAGGTGCGTGTGACGAGGTGTGTGTTCAGGTTCTGTATGTGTGATGTGACGAGGTGTGTGTTCATGCTGTGTGTGACGAGGTGTGTGTTCATCCTGTGTGTGATGTGACGAGGTGTGTGTTCATGCTGTTTGTGTGTGTGACGTGACAAGGTGTGTGTGTGATGTGACGAGGTGTGGAGGCCTCTCCGTCTCGTGCTATTCATCACGCCAGTTCGCTCCCCCAGGGCACGACAGCCCAATTATCCCATCAACTTCCTACCCCCCCCCCTCCTCCTCCACAACCCCCCACCGCCCCCACCCCTCCAATCCCCCACCCCTCCACGGCCCCCACCCATCCCATTTCCCCCACCCCTCCAACCCCCCACCCCTCCCTCCCTCCTCCACGGCCCCCCACGGCCCCCATCCCTCCAACCCCCCACCCCTCCCTCCCTCCTCCACAACCACCCACGGCCCCCACCCCTCCAATCCCCCACCCCTCCACGGCCCCCACCCCTCCCATCTCCCGCCCCCACCCCACCCATCTCCCCCCCCGTGGCCCCCACCCATCCCCCACAGCCCCCACCCATTTACCCCCCACCGCCCCCACCCCTCCAATCTCCCCCCTCCCCCACGGCCCCCACCCCTCCAACCCCCACCCCTCCCATCTCCCCCCCCCCGTGGCCCCCACCCATCTCCCCCACAGCCCCCACCCACCCACGTGTTGACCCCTTCGCTTGTTGACGCAGTCGTCCATCTCGTCGCGGTGGCCGTGGCCACGCGCCGCCACTCAACGCGGCTGCTGCTGCGGCCGTCGCTACAATTGTGTTTAGCGTGACACCGCCTTGCGGCTGGGCAGCTGTGAAAAACAAGAGCTTTGTAGCTCATCGGATTCCTCCTGCAGTAACAAACAAAAAAATCAAACACGCCGCACATTTCTCTGATTCTGAATTTGTCTGTGCCGGGTTAGTGACGACCGGAGTTCGAGTCCCGCACACAACCGAAATTGTGAACCGGTCCTGGGCCTCCCAATGGATCTGGGGGCCCTTGCCAAGCAGGGGCAGCGCTGGTGGATTTGGGGGGGGGGGGCCTTCATCCAGCAGTGGATGATCGGCCATGGAGGTCTACGACCCAAATACACGCAGAGAAGGACCTATGAAGGCCGTGCCACAATGTGCTTGCTGCTACTCGCGGACAGCACTTGCCCCGGCAGTCTGTTAAAGGCTACACGGGTGACCTGTGTCTTTGTGTGTGTGTGTTTGTTTTGATTTGGGTGGCGGGGGGCGGTGTGTAGTTTTACTGTTTGTTCCTATGAATCGGTGGGTGCCACCGCGTAATTAACGTTATGCAAATGACCCGTGTTGGATTTTCATGTTTTTCCTTTATGAATTGTCCCAGGGAGTCGAAGATTTTCAGCGTGGGCTGCTGCTTCTGCTGCTGCTGCAGGATGCAGCTGCAAGAGCGACGGCTTACAACTTCGCATTCGCTTGCAAGTGCCGTGGCCAGGATTGTGACTCAAGGATTGGCCTACGAAGTCAGTCTAGGCGCTGCAAAACCTCCAGCTGACCTCGTAAGGCGCGCAAGAAGTGTCTCACGAGACGCACAGGCTTATGCTGATGATGAGCACAAGTAGCTACTAATGTACTACATATATATGTAGTAGCTACCACATATATATGTGGTAGCTGCTACATATGTAGCAGCTACCACATACATATGTAGCAGCTACCACATATATATGTAGTAGTAGCTACTACATATACTACATATATGTGGTAGCTACTACATATATATGTAGTACATTAGTAGCTACTTGTGCTCATCATCAGCATAAGCCTGTGCGTCTCGTGAGACACTTCTTGCGCGCCTTACGAGGTCAGCTGGAGGTTTTGCAGCGCCTAGACTGACTTCGTAGGCCAATCCTTGAGTCACAATCCTGGCCACGGCACTTGCAAGCGAATGCGAAGTTGTAAGCCGTCGCTCTATATGTAGTAGCTACTACATATGTAGCAGCTGCTACATGTGTAGCTGCTACAAGTGTAGTAGCTACTACATATATATGTAGTAGCCACTACACGTGCAGCAGCTACACGTGCTACTACGGGCCCCGCACTCGCTTCATCCGGCACTGATCAAGCCACAGGTAACCGCGTCAGCAAGCGGACAGGGTCCTGAGTTGTTATCGTCACGGCGGCGATGTTCCTCCTTCGTATTTCGTGGATCGAAGCTCTTTGTAGAGAAGGCCGATGACACGAGAGAATACGATGCTGCGTTCATCCTGGAAGAATCCGATGAGCTATAAAGCTCTTCCCCCCCCCCCCCTCAGAGATGCCCAATAGCTAAGCAGACAATGTCTCCTTCCTCCCGTGTCTCTCTCGCCACGTAATGCAAACGTTTAAATTGTCCACAACACATCAAGCTCCACCACGGCATTCTGCTGAGAGACTCCGTTCAACTACTTCCTTGGCTAAACAATGAATTGTGGTTGATGTCGTTACAAGATTAAAGGCACAAAGATCTCCCGTGTAGCCTGTAACAGGATGTAGGGGCAAGTGCTGTTAGCGAGCAGCGCCTGTGAAGGTCGGAACGGTACACGAGGGGGTGGGTGGCCAGCACCACGCCCGGCCGCCTTTGTCTCCCCAGCAACGATGTTTACTACGCAGCGCACCAGGTACTCGTTTGATGCCGAGTCGACCTAGAGGAGGTCCAGGACCGATTCAGATAATCGTCACCGGTGTTGGCCGTGAGCGGGAATCGAACTCGGGAAGCCGGGCTCACAGCGCAGCGTGGCGCTAACCACTACACCACCGCTCCCCATGGATAGAGACACACACACGTGTGTGTGAATGACGAGCAATTGTTTATGGATTTTCAACATTGCGATACAACATACAATGTGGGTCTATAGAGCGTCTGCTACACGATGTATGGAATCAGTGGGGGCACGTTTATGCTATTGAAAGAGGAAGGAGCTGTAGATCTGTGTGAGTCTGAAGGACTGTGTGTGTGTATATTTGGCCCTAGGTGCACATGGCCTGGCACAAGCGTCGTGGTGACGTCACCGCCACTTAGTGGCGAATGGCGGTTGTTATGTTGTTATGTTATGGGGCCCTAGGTGGGTACACGGGTCTCTATGTGAGTCTATGGGTCTCTGTGAGTTTATGGGTCTCTATGTTAGTCTATGGGTCTCCGTGAGTCTATGGGGCCCTAGGTGGGTACACGGGTCTCCATGTGAGTCTATGGGTATCTGTGTGAGTATATGGGTCTCCTGTGAGTTGATGGGTCTCTGTGAGTCTATAGGTCTCTGTTTGAGTCTATGGGTCTCCTGTGAGTTGATGGGTCTCTGTGAGTCTATAGGTCTCTGTTTGAGTCTATGGGTCTCTGTTTGAGTCTATGGGTCTCCTGTGAGTTGATGGGTCTCTGTGTGAGTGGGTCTTTGTGAGTCTATGGGTCTCTGTGTGAGTGTATTAATCTCTGAGTGTATACGTCTGTGTGTGTGTGTGTGTCTATGGGTTCCTACGTGGGTATATGATTCTCTATGTGATTATATGGACACCTGGCAATCAACACAATACAGTGCAATGTGGAATCATATATTGCCTAAATACGACCGCACCTCAATATGATGACATACAGTACACAAGTTTCCTCTCATAGCTAACTAAAAACACGCAATGTATGTACTTTGAACTTCTTTCGCAACCGTGCGTTGCTAATGGGAGGTGCGAGGGGGAGAGCACAACGAACTAAACAACAACAACAACAACAAGATGCGGTTGCTGGTACTGACCAAACATCCCAATGCCGAATGATTTACCTGCACGTCACTCAATTGGGATCGCACGCAGCAGCAGCAGCATCAGCATGATGATCATCAGCAGCAGCAGCAGCATCATCATCGCCTCCTACCTACGACTGCCAGAGGCCTGGCAGGTGAACTTCCTCAACAAGATTCCCAGCGACTCGGCGAAGCTCCGGAGGGTTAAGACGAGCTTCGTAATAATCATATTATTATTATACAAGTGTAATGACAGGGGAGTCAGCTGTGAGTGTGAAGGGACTCGTGGCCACGGGAAGTAATGACAGGGGAGTCAGCTGTGAGTGTGAAGGGACCGGTGGCCACGGGAGGTAATGACATGGGAGTCAGCTGTGAATCCGAAGGGACTGGTGGCCACGGGAGGTAATGACAGGGGAGTCAGCTGTGAGTGTGAAGGGACTAGTGGCCACGGGAGGTAATGACAGGGGAGTCAGCTGTGAGTGTGAAGGGACTGGTGGCCACGGGAGGTAATGACAGGGGAGTCAGCTGTGAGTGCGAAGGGACTGGTGGCCACGGAAGGTAATGACAGGGAAGTCAGCTGTGAGTGCGAAGGGACTGGTGGCCACGGGAGGTAATGACAGTGGGAGTCAGCTGTGAGTGTGAAGGGACTGGTGGCCACGGGAGGTAATGACAGGGGAGTCAGCTGTGAGTGTGAAGGGACTGGTGGCCACGGGAGGTAATGACAGGGGAGTCAACTGTGAGTGCGAAGGGACTGGTGGCCACAGGCATGTTCGAGAAGGGAGCGTTCTCTTCCATCAGGCGACGGAAGAGAGCGGTAGAGTCTGCCGGTGGAGCGAGTGTCCAGAGTCAGCGAGAATGATGTAGAAGGGAGTCTTGGCCTCGTGTCTTGGTATATAAGGGGGAGATGCAGGGAGACTCGGGGCTGTTGCGGTGGGAATCTCCGCCTGATATCAAGCGGACGCGTCTTCAATAAAGTGCCATCTCAAGAGAAGTGTGTCACGTCGTCATTACACTACTAGCAGCGCACGACCACTCATTCCTGATCCTCAACACCTCACTTACACCGATGGTGATGATGTGGAAGAGGGTGCTTCATCGCTGAAGAACTCCAGACCTTTTTTCATGTCATTCTTAATGTGCTTTCCTCCGGGCTTCCATCCTGTAGGGCAGACTGACACAACAACCACAGACTAACACAACAACAACAACCACCACCGCCGCGCTAGTGCCAGGCTATGTGCACGTTGAGGCTACATGACATGTCGAATGCCCGCCGGCAGGAGTTCACGGGGCAGACCCAGCGGGTGCCATCATGGGTCGACTGACTGAGATGACTGACACACACACACAAAGACGCCCCGTGTAGCCTTAACAGACTGTTGGGGCAAGTGCTGTTAGCGAGCACCTATCTCCCTAGTGGCGAGCGATGTTTACACACCGCACCGGGTACTAATTTGAGGCTGAATCGACCTAGAGGAGGCCCAGGACCGGTTTGGATTAATTGTCACCGGTGTTGACCGTGAGTGGGACTCGAACTCGGGTCGCCAGGTTCGTAGCGCAGCGTAGCGCTAACCACTGCACCACCGCTCCCCACACACACTGCTACACTCAAACACTCAACACACACACACAGACACACAAAGACAAAGATCCCCCGTGTAGCCTCCACAGACTTGTGGGGCAAGTGCTGTTATCTGGTAAGTTCCCTTACGAAGGCCAACGTGTGTTGGTGGTGTCGGAGTGAAGTGGGGGGCTGGGGAGTGGGGGGCTGGGGAGTGAAGTGGGGGGCTGGGGAGTGAAGTGGGGGGCTGGGGAGTGAAGTGGGGGGCTGGGGAGTAAAGTGGGGGGCTGGGAAGTGCAGTGGGGGGCTGGGAAGTGCAGTGGGGGGCTGGGGAGTGAAGTGGGGGGCTGGGGAGTGAAGTGAGGGGCTGGGGAGTGCAGTGGGGGCTTGGGAGTGCAGTGGGGGGGCTTGGGAGTGAAGTGGGGGGCTGGGGAGTGAAGTCGGGGCCTGGTGAATGAAGTGGGGGGCTGGAGAGTAAGGTGGGGGGCTGGAGAGTAAAGTGGGGGGCTGGGGAGTGAAGTGGGGGCTGGGGAGTGAAGTGGGGGGCTGGGGAGTGAAGTGGGGGGCTGGGGAGTAAAGTGGGGGGCTGGGAAGTGCAGTGGGGGGCTGGGGAGTGAAGTGGGGGGCTGGGGAGTGAAGTGAGGGGCTGGGGAGTGCAGTGGGGGGCTTGGGAGTGCAGTGGGGGGGCTTGGGAGTGAAGTGGGGGGCTGGGGAGTGAAGTGGGGGGCTGGTGAGTGAAGTGGGGGGCTGGAGAGTTAGGTGGGGGGCTGGAGAGTAAAGTGGGGGGCTGGGGAGTGAAGTGGGGGCTGGGGAGTGAAGTGGGGGGCTGGGGAGTGAAGTGGGGGGATGGGAAGTGAAGTGGGGGGCTGGGGAGTGAAGTGGGGGGCTGGGGAGTGCAGTGGGGGGCTTGGGAGTGCAGTGGGGGGCTTGGGAGTGAAGTGGGGGGCTGGGGAGTGAAGTGGGGGGCTGGTGAGTGAAGTGGGGGCTGGAGAGTAAGGTGGGGGGCTGGAGAGTAAAGTGGGGGGCTGGGGAGTGAAGTGGGGGGCTGGGGAGTGAAGTGGGGGGCTGGGGAGTGAAGTGGGGGGCTGGGGAGTGCAGTGGGGGGCTTGGGAGTGCAGTGGGAGGCTTGGGAGTGAAGTGGGGGGCTGGGGAGTGAAGTGGGGGGCTGGGGAGTAAAGTGGGGGGCTTGGGAGTGAAGTGGGGGGCTGGGGAGTGAAGTGGGGGCTGGTGAGTGAATTGGGGGGCTGGAGAGTAAGGTGGGGGGCTGGAGAGTAAAGTGGGGGGCTGGGGAGTGCAGTGGGTGGCTTGGGAGTGAAGTGGGGGGCTGGGGAGTGCAGTGGGGGGCTTGGGAGTGCAGTGGGAGGCATGGGAGTGAAGTGGGGGGCTGGGGAGTGAAGTGGGGGGCTGGGGAGTAAAGTGGGGGGCTTGGGAGTGAAGTGGGGGGCTGGGGAGTGCAGTGGAGGGCTGGGGAGTGAAGTGGGGGGCTGGGGAGTGAAGTGGGGGGCTGGGGAGTGCAGTGGGGGGCTTGGGAGTGCAGTGGGGGGCTTGAGAGTGAAGTGGGGGGCTGGGGAGTGAAGTGGGGGGCTGGGGAGTAAAGTGGGGGGCTTGGGAGTGAAGTGGGGGGCTGGGGAGTGAAGTGGAGGGCTGGGGAGTGAAGTGGGGGGCTGGGGAGTGCAGTGGGGGGCTGGGGAGTGAAGTGGGGGGCTGGGGAGTGAGGTGGGGGGCTGGGGAGTAAAGTGGGGGGCTGGGGAGTGCAAGTGGGGGGCTGGGGAGTGCAGTGGGGGGCTGGAGTGCAGTGGGGGGCTGGGGAGTGAAGTGGGGGGCTGGGGAGTGAAGTGGGGGGCTGGGGAGTAAAGTGGGGGGCTGGGGAGTGCAGTGGGGGGCTAGGGAGTGAAGTGGGGGGCTGGGGAGTAAAGTGGGGGGCTGTGCCCCCTACAGTCGCCGTGCTTGTCCACGAACTGCACCGCGTGCAGTTGGCGCAGCGCCTCGTCCACGGAGCGACCAATGGGAAGGTCGCACACGGTCATGTGACGTACTAGGCCCTTAGGGTCCACCAGGAACAGGGCCCTGGGGGAACACGTGACATCATCAGCAGCAGCACCATCATCATCAGGAGCACCATCAGCACCATCATCATCATCAGCACAATCATCATCATCAGCACCATCAGCAGCACCACCATCATCAGCAGCAGCACCATCATCATCATCAGCACAATCATCAGCACCATCATCATCAGCAGCACCATCATCATCGTCAGCAGCACCACCATCATCATCAGCAGCAGCACCATCATTATCATCATCATCAGTACCATCATCATCAGCAGCAGCACCATCATCATCAGCACCATCATCTTCATCAGAAGCACCATCATCATCAGCAGCATCAGCATCAGCAGAATCATCATTAACTGGTGGTGGGTGGGGGGTTAGTGGTGGGTGGTGGTAGTGGTGGTGGGTGGTGGTGGTGGGTAATGATCGTGGGGGGGTGGTGGTGGTGGGTGGTGGTGGTGGGGGGTGATGATGGTGGGTGCTGGGTGGTGGTGGTGGGTGGTGGTGGGTGGTGGTGGTGGGTGGTGCTGGGTGGTAGTGGTGGGTGGTGGTGGTGGTAGTGGTGGGGGGTGGTGGTGCTGGGTGGTGCTGGGTGGTGGTGGGTGGTAGTGGGTGGTAGTGGTGGTGGTGGGTGGTGGTGGTGGTGGGTGGTGGTGGTGGGTGGTGGTGCTGGGTGGTAGTGGTGGGTGGTGGTGGTGGTGGTGCTGGGTGGTAGTGGTGGGTGGTGGTGGTAGTGGTGGGGGGTGGTGGTGGTGCTGGGTGGTGCTGGGTGGTGGTGGGTGGTAGTGGTGGTGGGTGGTGGTGGTGGTGCTGGGTGGCAGTGGTGGGTGGTGGTGATGGGTGGTGGTGGTGGTGGGTGGTGGTGGTGCTGGGTGGTAGTGGTGGGTGGTGGTGCTGGGTGGTGCTGGGTGGTGGGTGGTGGGGGGTGGTGGTGGGTGGTGGTGGTGGTGCTGGGTGCTGCTGGGTGGTGGGTGGTGGTGGGTGGTGGTGGGTGGTGGTGGTGCTGGGTGGTACTGGGTGGTAGTGGTGGTGGGTGGTGCTGGGTGGTGGGTGGTGGTGGGTGGTGGTGGTGGTGGTGGTGCTGGGTGGTGCTGGGTGGTAGTGGTGGTGGGTGGTGCTGGGTGGTGGTGGGTGGTAGTGGTGGTGGGTGGTGCTGGGTGGTAGTGGTGGGTGGTGGTGGGTGGTGGTGGGTGATGGTGGTGGTGGGTGGTGGTGGTGGGTGGTGGTGGTGATAGTGGTGATAGTGGTGGTGGTGGTAGTGGTGGGGGGTGGTGGTGGTGGTGGGTGGTGGTGGGTGGTAGTGGTAGTGGGTGGTGGTAGTGGTGAATGGTGGTAGTGGTGGGTGGTGGTGGTAGTGGTGGTGGTGATGGGTGGTGGTGGGTGGTGGTGGTGGGTGGTGGTGGGTGGTGGTGATAGTGGTGGTGGTGGGTGGTGGTGGGTAGTGGTGCTGGTGGTGGGTGGTGGTGGTGAGTGGTGGTAGTGGTGGTGGTGCTAGGTGGTGGTGCTGGGTGGTGGTAGTGGGTGGTAGTGGTGGGTGGTGGTGGGTGGTAGTGGTAGTGGGTGGTGGTAGTGGTGAATGGTGGTAGTGGTGGGTGGTGGTGGTGGTGGTGGTAGTGGTGGTAGTGGTGGGTGGTGGTGCTGGGTGGTAGTGGTGGGTGGTGGTAGTGGTGGGGGGTGGTGGTGGTGCTGGGTGGTGCTGGGTGGTGGTGGGTGGTAGTGGTGGTGGTGGTGGTGGGTGGTGGTGGTGGTGCTGGGTGGTAGTGGTGGGTGGTGGTGATGGGTGGTGGTGGTGGTGGTGGGTGGTGGTGGTGGTGCTGGGTGGTAGTGGTGGGTGGTGGTGCTGGGTGGTGCTGGGTGGTGGTGGGTGGTGGTGGGTGGTGGTGCTGGGTGCTGCTGGGTGGTGGGTGGTGGTGGGTGGTGGTGGGTGGTGGTGGTGGTGGTGGTGCTGGGTGGTGCTGGGTGGTAGTGGTGGTGGGTGGTGCTGGGTGGTGGTGGGTGGGCTGGGTGGTAGTGGTAGTGGTGGGTGGTGGTGGTGGGTGGTGGTGGTGGTGGTGGGTGGTGGTGGTGGGTGGTGGTGGTGATAGTGGTGATAGTGGTGGTGGTGATGGTGGTAGTGGTGGTGGTGGTGGGTGGTGGTGGGTGGTAGTGGTAGTGGGTGGTGGTAGTGGTGAATGGTGGTAGTGGTGGGTGGTGGTAGTGGTGGGTGGTGGTGGTGGGTGGTGGTGGGTGGTGGTGGTGGTGGGTGGTGGTGATAGTGGTGGTGGTGGGTGGTGGTGGGTAGTGGTGCTGGTGGTGGGTGGTGGTGGTGAGTGGTGGTAGTGGTGGTGGTGCTGGGTGGTGGTGCTGGGTGGTGGTGCTGGGTGGTGGTAGTGGGTGGTAGTGGTGGTGATAGTGGTGATAGTGGTGATAGTGGTGATAGTGGTGGTGGTGGTGGTAGTGGTGGGTGGTGGTGGTGGGTGGTGGTGGGTGGTAGTGGTAGTGGTGAATGGTGGTAGTGGTGGGTGGTGGTGGTAGTGGTGGGTGGTGGTGGTGGGTGGTGGTGGTGGGTGGTAGTGGGTGGTAGTGGGTGGTAGTGGTGGCTGGTGGTGGTGGTGGTGGTAGTGGTGAATGGTGGTAGTGGTGGGTGGTAGTGGTGGTGGTGGTGATAGTAGTGGGTGATGGGTGGTAGTGGTGGTGGTGGTGATAGTAGTGGGTGGTGGTGGGTGGTGGTGGGTGGTAGTGGGTGGTAGTGGTGGTAGTGGTGGGTGGTGATGGGTGGGTGGTAGTGGTGGTGGTGGTGATAGTAGTGGGTGGTGGTGGGTGGTGGTGGGTGGTAGTGGGTGGTAGTGGTGGTAGTGGTGGGTGGTGGTGCTGGGTGGTGCTGGGTGGTAGTGGTAGTGGTGGTGGGTGGTGGTGGTAGTGGTGGTGATAGTAGTGGGTGGTGGTGGGTGGTGCTGGGTGGTAGTGGGTGGTGGTAGTAGTGGGTAGTGGTGGCTGGTGGATTCTCTTCACCTGTACGCGTGCCCCGCTTCCTCGTCGTAGGCGCCGTAAGCTCGTGCCACGGCTCCCGTGCAGTCGGCCAGGATGGGGAAATTCACGCGGCCCAGCCCCGCAGCCTTGCGGGGGGTGTTCACCCTGTCGGGGGGGGGGGAGATGTTGACTACCTCGCCTGGTACGCAGGAGGTCGTCGGTTCGATCCCGATTCATCATCACCACGGTGCCTGAAATATTGACTACCTCGCCTGGTATACAGGAGGTCGTGGGTTCCATCCCGACCCTGACGATGCCTGCTGCTGTATAGGAGTCAGGGTCTCTCATCATCATCATCACGGTGGCTAGGAGATGTTAACAACCTCGCCTGGTGTACAGGAGGTCGTGGGTTCCATCCCGACCCTGACGATGCCTGCTGTATATTTGTAGTTTGCGTGTCTCTCTCTCTCATCATCACCACGGTGGCTAGGAGATGTTAACTACCTCGCCTGGTGTACAGGAGGTCATGGGTTCCATCCCGACCCTGACGATGCCTGCTGCTGCTGCTGTATATTTGGAGTTTGCGTGTCTCTCTCCCCCCCACCACATTTAGAATCAGCATCACCACGCGTTTTAGAATTTTTGGCGCTGTTACAAATGTCCACGCTACAAGGCTCTAGTGGGCACTACCTGGTAAAATAAAAAAATAAAAGCACATAATAAAAACTTGATTTGAAGCTTTCGTGACTGCAGGAATAACCGTTTGGTTCTTTCGGTGAAGTCACGTAGAACATACAATAAAATAATAGAATAGACGACGTTTCGATTGCAACGCAAGCAACCAACGTCAGGTGAAAACACCGAAAAGTTAAATATATAAAGTAAAATTTTAGTTTAAAGGGTGATGGAATTGATGGAGTATGTGTGTGTTCAACTTCTTTCGCACCGTACATAGACATCCGTGCTAATCGAAGGTGCGTGAAATCATCATCATTGTGATCGTGATGGTCGGTGGTGATATTGATGATGGCCAAGATTGATGATGATGGTGGTGGTGGTGGTGCCGGTTAGGATACTCATACTACGGCTGCGACCACACGTGCTGCTGCTGATGATGATGATGACACCACTGTTTGTGATGCTGATGATGATGCTGCCGATGATGATGACACCACTAATTCTAGATTTGAAGTTTTTCGTCCAGTTCAGCAGTTTGTTTCTAACTGTTGTGTCCCATACTCTTTGGTTCTATTCGGTAAAGTCACGTAGGTAAAAATAAAATAACAAAAAAATCACGACGTTTCGGCCACAACACAAGTGGCCTTCATCAGGTGAAGGGACTGGACTGTCCAGAGGACAGCGTTGGAGTGAAGACAGCAAGCCCAGGTCGCGTCCTTTAAGCTTGTGGTCGCGGCATCTTTTGAGGAAGGTCAGCGTCTCGATGAGCTGTGACTTCTTGTCCCGTTGTCTGTTGAAAGCTCTAACAGATAGGTGAAAGCCCTCCCCGTAGATGTTATCAATTCTAGATTTGAAGCTTTCGTGACTGCAAGGATCCATACTCTTTGGTTCTAGGGCTTCACTCCAACGCTGTCCTCTGGACAGTCCAGTCCCTTCACCTGATGAAGGCCACTTGTGTTGTGGCCGAAACGTCGTGATTTTTTGTTATTTTATTTTTACTTACGTGACTTTACCGAATAGAACCAAAGAGTATGGATCCTTGCAGTCACGAAAGCTTCAAATCTAGAATTGTCGTGTCCCACCTGATGACGGGCGCTTGTGTTGCGCCCGAAACGTCGTGATTTAATTGAGTTGTTTTCATTTTTGTTTAATTTTATTTTCACCTACGTGACTTTACCGAAAGAACCAAAGAATATATATGACACCACTGTTTTTGATGCTGATGATGCTGATGATGATGCTGCTACTGATGATGATGCTGCTGATGCTAATGATGATGCTGCTGTTGCTGATGTTGCTGCTGCTACTGATGATGATGCTGCTGATGATGATACTGCTACTAATGATGATGATGCTGCTGCTGCTGATGATGCTGCTGATGATGATGCTGCTGATGATGATGCTGCTACTGATGATGATGCTACTGATGGTGATGCTGCTGCTGCTGATGATGATGATGATTATGATGCTGCTGAAGATGCTGGCGGTGTCACCAAGCGAAGTGAGCGTAGAGCGAGTCGCACGAAGAGGCGACGACGTCGCAGCCGGCGGCGCAGAACTCTCCCGCCCGCTCGCTGAACTCCACCAGTTCCGTGGGGCACACGAAGGAGAAGTCGAGCGGGTAGAAGAGTAGCAGCACGTAGCGGCCTGGGGACACGGGGAGACACGGGGAGACACGGGTAGAAGAGTAGCAGCACGTAGCGGCCTGGAGACACGGGGAGACACGGGAGGACACGGGAGACACGGGGGGACACGGGGGACACGGGGAGACACGGGGAGACACGGGGGGACTCGGGGAGACACGGGGGGACACGGGGAGACACGAGGAGACACGGGGAGACACGGGGGGACACGGGGAGACACGAGGATACACGGGGAGACACGGGGAGACACACGGGGAGACACGGGGAGAAGAGCAGCAGCAGCAGCAGCGCGTAGCGGCCTGGGTCCTCGTGGGCATGAGTGGAGCAATCGACGAGTTCGCCGCTACGGGTGAACGCGGCAGTCGTGACACCAAATGTGTGCGCTGCACCGCCCTTCTCCGTGCTACGTCGCGAGCGTCGTCCGAGGTATTTGTTTCTGGCTGAGCGGACCTAGGGGGCGGGCCGCGCTCACCGCGGTGCTGGGCGAGGCTCACGGAGCCGAAGGCGAGGTCCTGCATGAGGGCCCGGCACGAGAAGTCGGGCGCGGGCTGTGAGAGCCGAGCCATGCTGGGGGTGGAGGGGTGGAGGGGGTGAAGGGTGGAGGGGGTGGAGGGGTGGGGGAGTGGAGGGGGTGGGGGGGTGGAGGAGGTGAAAGGGGTAGTGGGGGGGTGGTGGGAGGGTGGAGGGGGTGGGGGTGGAGGGGGTGGAGGGGGTGGGGGGGGTGGAGGGGGGTGGGGGGGGGTGGAGGGGTGGAGGGGGTGGGGGGGGTAGTGGGGGGGTGGTGGAGGGGGTGGAGGGGGTAGAGGATGTGGAGGGGGTGGAGTGGGTGGAGGGGGGTGGAGGGGGGTGGAGGGGTGGAGGGGGTAGTGGGGGGGTGGTGAGGGTGTGGAGGGGGTGGAGGGGGTGGAGGGGGTGGATGGGGTGGGGGGGTGGAGGGGGTGGAGGGGTGGAGGGGGGTAGAGGGGGTAGAGGATGTGGAGTGGGTGGAGTGGGTGGAGGGGGTGGAGGGGAGTTGGGGGTAGAGGGGTGGAGGGGGTGGAGGGGGTGAGGGGTGGAGGGGGTGGAGGGGTGGAGGGGGTAGTGGGGGGGGTGGTGGGGGGGTGGAGGGTGTGGAGTGGGTGGAGTGGGTGGAGGGGGGTGGAGGGGTGGAGGGTGTAGTTAAAGAAGGAGTTTTTGCCCCTCTACCAAGAAGTATTTTTACGAACAAAACGATCGAGGCACCACAACGCTGAGGGCCCGACAGCGCAGACCGTCACATTCACGGATTGAGGGCGCAATGGACGCGTGTCTCGACCGCAAGTTTCAATAACAAACTCCACACCCGCCTGGTTTGCTACGAGCACGGCCCTAATTATAATAAATATTATAATATATAGTTGGGGGAACACCCCCCCCCCCGCCCCCAATATTATGCAATATAAAATAATCGCTATGCTATGTAAATAAAAATCCTTGTCTTAATATAACAATGCATAGATTTATGTTTATATGATTGTCGTTATGGTTGTACTTTATTAATCCCTGATCTCTGCCATTACATACAATGAAACAAGAAATGGTAAAAAAAAAAGTTCAAACAGAGCAATATAATACAATAACACTAGTAGACATTATTGTAAAAAATAAAAATTCCATCCCACGTGTTAGTGAATTTTTAAAATATTATGGGCAGGAAATGAGTTTTCAAATTTAGATTTTTTTTTCTTTCTGGGTTGAGACCCCCAGACCCCCTGGAAGATTTGGTCCCCCCCCCCCCCCCCCCCATGTTCACTCCATGGCTACGGCCTTGGCTAGGAGGGTACCTGCACGTCCTTGAAGGATGCTCTTTAGAGTCAATGCCGCTCACAGGAGGAGACATCGGTGGAGGGTTCGTTGCTAAAGCGTCCATCCCTCTTCTCTGGAGCGGGGGGAATGGGGAGGTTTTCCCGTAACGTTTGAACGTTTAAAAATCGTGTATTTTGCCCTCCGTGGCAATGCCTTGAGGTGTCAATGCCAACAGGGACGGTCCTGGTCAGGGTGAGAGATGGGGAGCCTCAATGCGGAGGGGATAACCGGTGGATCTCCGGAGACAAATCCACGCGAACTCACGTGGGGAGAGGGAGACACCGCAAACTCCAAATCTACAGCAGCAGCAGCAGGCGTCAGTGTCGGGATCGAATCCACGAGACCTCCTGTAGACCGGGCGAGGTAGTCAACATCTCCTAGCCACCGTGATGATGATGATGATGAGACGTGCAAACTCCAAATATACAGCAGCACTCACTCACCACATGCATCCACTCCCCACACTCACTCACCACTCACTCACCACTCACTCACCACATGCACCACTCCCCCCACTCACTCACCACATGCATCCACTCCCCCCACTCACTCACCACTCACTCATCACTCACTTACCACATTCACCACTCCCACTCACTCACCACATGCATCCACTCCCCACACTCACTCACCACATGGACCACTCCCCACACTCACTCACTCACCACTCAATCACCACTCAATCACCACTCACTCACCACATGCATCCACTCCCCACACTCACTCACCACTCACTCACCACTCAATCACCACATGCACCACTCCCCCCACTCACTCACCACTCACTCACCACTCAATCACCACTCACTCACCACATGCACCACTCCCCCCACTCACTCACCACATGGACCACTCCCCCCACTCACTCACCACTCACTCACCACTCACTCACCACAGGCACCACTCACTCACCACATGCACCACTCCCCCCACTCACTCACCACTCACTCACCACTCACTCACCACATGCACCACTCCCCCCACTCATCACATGCATCCACTCCCCACTCACTCACCACTCACCAGTCACTCACCATTCACTCACCACACGCAACACTCCCCACTCTCTCACCACACTCAACACTCCACACTCACTCACCACTCACTCACCACGCTCACCATTCACTCACCAAACGCACCACTCCCCACTCACTTACCACTCACTCACCACACGCACCACTCCCCACTCACTCACCACGCTCACCACTCACTCACCACACGCACCACTCACTCACCACACTCACCACCACTCACCACCACTCAGCACGCTCACCACCACTCACCACCACTCACCACGCTCACCACCACTCACCACCACTCACCACGCTCACCACCACTCATCACCACTCACCACGCTCACCACCACTCACCACGCTCACCACCACTCACCACCACTCACCACGCTCACCACCACTCACCACGCTCACCTGGTCAGTTCTCGCGAGAGTCACCGTTGGCTACTTGCACCTGCCAAGAATGACAGTTAACAGGTGAGTGAGAGGCAGGTTACCTCACACAGGTAACAGGTGAGTGAGAGGCAGGTTACCTCACACAGGTAACAGATGAGTGAGTGAGTGAGTGGCGAGTTACCTTACACAGGTGAGTGAGAGGCAGGTTACCTCACACAGGTAACAGGTGAGTGAGTGAGTCAGTGGCGAGTTACCTTACACAGAAAACAGGTGAGTGGCGAGTTAACTCACACAGTTAACAGGTGAGTGTGTGAGAGGCAGGTTACCTCACACAGGTAACAGGTGAGTGAGTGAGTGGCGAGTTACCTTTGCCAGTTGAGTGAGAGGCGAGTTATCTCACAGGTAACAGGTGAGTTAGTGAGTGGCGAGTTACCTCACACAGGTAACAGGTGAGTGAGAGGTGAGTTACCTCACACAGGTAACAGCTGAGTGAGTGAGAGGCGAGTTACCTCACACAGGTAACAGGTAAGTGAGAGGCAGGTTACCTCACACAGGTAACAGGTGAGTGAGAGGCGAGTTACCTTACACAGGTAACAGGTGAGTGAGAGGCAGATTACATCACACAGGTAACAGGTGAGTGAGTGAGAAACGAGTTACCTTTGCCAGGTGAGTGAGTGGTGAGTTACCTCCCTCAGGTAACAGGTGAGTGAGTGAGAGGCAGGTTACCTCACACAGGTAACAGGTGAGTGAGAGGCGAGTTACCTTACACAGGTAACAGATGAATGAGAGGCGAGTTAACTCACACAGGTAACAGCTGAGTGAGTGAGAGGCATGTTACCTCACACAGGTAACAGCTGAGTGAGTGAGAGGCGAGTTACCTTTGCCAGGTGAGTGAGAGGCGAGTTACCTCACACAGGTAACAGGTGAGTGAGTGAGTGAGAGGCGAGTTACCTTTGCCAGGAGAGTGAGAGGCGAGTTATCTCACACAGGTAACAGCTGAGTGAGTGAGAGGCGAGTTACCTTTGCCAGGTGAGTGAGAGGCGAGTTACCTCACACAGGTAACAGCTGAGTGAGAGGCGAGTTACCTTTGCCAGGTGAGTGAGAGGCGAGTTACCTCACACAGGTAACAGCTGAGTGAGTGAGAGGCGAGTTACCTCACACAGGTAACAGCTGAGTGAGTGAGAGGCGAGTTACCTTTGCCAGGTGAGTGAGAGGCGAGTTACCTCACACAGGTAACAGCTGAGTGAGTGAGAGGCGAGTTACCTCACACAGGTAACAGCTGAGTGAGTGAGAGGCGAGTTACCTTTGCCAGGTGAGTGAGAGGCGAGTTACCTCACACAGCTAACAGCTGAGTGAGAGGCGAGTTACCTTTGCCAGGTGAGTGAGAGGCGAGTTACCTCACACAGGTAACAGCTGAGTGAGTGAGAGGCGAGTTACCTTTGCCAGGTGAGTGAGAGGCGAGTTACCTCACACAGGTAACAGCTGAGTGAGTGAGAGGCGAGTTACCTTTGCCAGGTGAGTGAAAGGTGAGTTACCTCACACAGGTAACAGGTGAGTGAGTGAGAGGCGAGTTACCTCACACAGGTAACAGTTGAGTGAGTAAGAGGTGAGTTACCTTTGCCAGGTGAGAGAGAGGCGAGTTACCTCACACAGGTAACAGCTGAGTGAGTGAGAGGCGAGTTACCTCACACAGGTAACAGCTGAGTGAGTGAGAGACGAGTTACCTTTGCCAGGTGAGTGAAAGGCGAGTTACCTCACACAGGTAACAGCTGAGTGAGTGAGAGGCGAGTTACCTCACACAGGTAACAGCTGAGTGAGTGAGAGGCGAGTTACCTTTGCCAGGTGAGTGAAAGGCGAGTTGCCTCACACAGGTAACAGCTGAGTGAGTGAGAGGCGAGTTACCTTTGCCAGGTGAGTGAAAGGCGAGTTACCTCACACAGGTAACAGCTGAGTGAGTGAGAGGCGAGTTACCTCACACAGGTAACAGGTGAGTTAGTGAGTGGCGAGTTACCTCACACAGGTAACAGTTGAGTGAGTGAGAGGCGAGTTACCTTACACAGGTAACAGCTGAGTGAGTGAGAGGCGAGTTACCTTTGCCAGGTAACGAGTGAGAGGCGAGTTACCTCACACAGGTAACAGATGAGTGAGTGAGAGGCAGGTTACCTCACACAGGTAACAGATGAATGAGAGGCGAGTTAACTCACACAGGTAACAGATGAGTGAGTAAGAGGCAGGGTACCTCACACAGGTAACAGCTGAGAGAGTGAGAGGCGAGTTAACTCACACAGGTAACAGCTGAGTGAGTGAGAGGCGAGTTAACTCACACAGGTAACAGATGAGTGAGTGAGAGGCGAGTTACCTCACACAGGTAACAGCTGAGTGAGTGAGAGGCGAGTTACCTTTGCCAGGTAACGAGTGAGAGGCGAGTTACCTCACACAGGTAACAGGTGAGTGAGTGAGAGGCGAGTTACCTCACACAGGTAACAGCTGAGTGAGTGAGAGGCGAGTTACCTTTGCTAGGTGAGTGAAAGGCGAGTTACCTCACACAGGTAATAGCTGAGTGAGTGAGAGGCGAGTTACCTTTGCCAGGTGAGTGAGAGGCGAGTTACCTCACACAGGTAACAGCTGAGTGAGTGAGAGGCGAGTTACCTCACACAGGTAACAGCTGAGTGAGTGAGAGGCGAGTTACCTCACACAGGTAACAGCTGAGTGAGTGAGAGACGAGTTACCTTTGCCAGGTGAGTGAAAGGCGAGTTACCTCACACAGGTAACAGCTGAGTGAGTGAGAGGCGAGTTACCTCACACAGGTAACGAGTGAGAGGCGAGTTACCTCACACAGGTAACAGCTGAGTGAGTGAGAGGCGAGTTACCTTTGCCAGGTGAGTGAAAGGCGAGTTACCACACACAGGTAACAGCTGCGTGAGTGAGAGGCGAGTTACCTCACACAGGTAACGAGTGAGAGGCGAGTTACCTCACACAGGTAACAGCTGAGTGAGTGAGAGGCGAGTTACCTTTGCCAGGTGAGTGAGAGGCGAGTTACCTCACACAGGTAACAGCTGAGTGAGTGAGAGGCGAGTTACCTCACACAGGTAACAGCTGAGTGAGGGAGAGGCGAGTTACCTTTGCCGGGTGAGTGAAAGGCGAGTTACCTCACACAGGTAACAGCTGAGTGAGTGAGAGGCGAGTTACCTCACACAGGTAACGAGTGAGAGGCGAGTTACCTCACACAGGTAACAGCTGAGTGAGTGAGAGGCGAGTTACCTTTGCCAGCTGAGTGAGAGGCGAGTTACCTAACACAGGTAACAGGTGAGTGTGTGAGAGGCGAGTTACCTCACACAGGTAACAGCTGAGTGAGTGAGAGGCGAGTTACCTCACACAGTTAACAGGTGAGTGAGAGGCGAGTTACCTCACACAGGTAATAGCTGAGTGAGTGAGAGGCGAGTTTCCTTTGCCAGGTGAGTGAGAGGGGAGTTACCTCACACAGGTAACAGGTGAGTGAGTGAGAGGCGAGTTACCTCACACAGGTAACAGCTGAGTGAGTGAGAGGCGAGTTACCTTAGCCAGGTGAGTGAGAGGCGAGTTACCTCACACAGGTAACAGCTGAGTGAGTGAGAGGCGAGTTACCTTTGCCAGGTGAGTGAGAGGCGAGTTACCTCACACAGGTAACAGCTGAGTGAGTGAGAGGCGAGTTACCTCACACAGGTAACAGCTGAGTGAGGGAGAGGCGAGTTACCTTTGACGGGTGAGTGAAAGGCGAGTTACCTCACACAGGTAACAGCTGAGTGAGTGAGAGGCGAGTTACCTCACACAGGTAACGAGTGAGAGGCGAGTTACCTCACACAGGTAACAGCTGAGTGAGTGAGAGGCGAGTTACCTTTGCCAGCTGAGTGAGAGGCGAGTTACCTAACACAGGTAACAGGTGAGTGTGTGAGAGGCGAGTTACCTCACACAGGTAACAGCTGAGTGAGTGAGAGGCGAGTTACCTCACACAGTTAACAGGTGAGTGAGAGGCGAGTTACCTCACACAGGTAATAGCTGAGTGAGTGAGAGGCGAGTTACCTTTGCCAGGTGAGTGAGAGGGGAGTTACCTCACACAGGTAACAGGTGAGTGAGTGAGAGGCGAGTTACCTCACACAGGTAACAGCTGAGTGAGTGAGAGGCGAGTTACCTTAGCCAGGTGAGTGAGAGGCGAGTTACCTCACACAGGTAACAGCTGAGTGAGTGAGAGGCGAGTTACCTTTGCCAGGTGAGTGAGAGGCGAGTTACCTCACACAGTTAACAGGTGAGTGAGTGAGTGAGAGGCGAGTTACCTTTGCCAGGTGAGTGAGAGGCGAGTTATCTCACACAGGTAACAGCTGAGTGAGTGAGAGGCGAGTTACCTTTGCCAGGTGAGTGAGAGGCGAGTTACCTCACACAGGTAACAGCTGAGTGAGTGAGAGGCGAGTTACCTTTGCCAGGTGAGTGAGAGGCGAGTTACCTCACACAGGTAACAGCTGAGTGAGTGAGAGGCGAGTTACCTTTGCCAGGTGAGTGAGAGGCGAGTTACCACACACAGGTAACAGCTGAGTGAGTGAGAGGCGAGTTACCTTTGCCAGGTGAGTGAGAGGCGAGTTACCTCACACAGGTAACAGCTGAGTGAGTGAGAGGCGAGTTACCTTTGCCAGGTGAGTGAGAGGCGAGTTACCTCACACAGCTAACAGCTGAGTGAGAGGTGAGTTACCTTTGCCAGGTGAGTGAGAGGCGAGTTACCTCACACAGGTAACAGCTGAGTGAGTGAGAGGCGAGTTACCTTTGCCAGGTGAGTGAGAGGCGAGTTACCTCACACAGGTAACAGCTGAGTGAGTGAGAGGCGAGTTACCTTTGCCAGGTGAGTGAAAGGTGAGTTACCTCACACAGGTAACAGGTGAGTGAGTGAGAAGCAAGTTACCTCACACAGGTAACAGCTGAGTGAGTAAGAGGCGAGTTACCTTTGCCAGGTGAGAGAGAGGCGAGTTACCTCACACAGGTAACAGCTGAGTGAGTGAGAGGCGAGTTACCTCACACAGGTAACAGCTGAGTGAGTGAGAGACGAGTTACCTTTGCCAGGTGAGTGAAAGGCGAGTTACCTCACACAGGTAACAGCTGAGTGAGTGAGAGGCGAGTTACCTCACACAGGTAACAGCTGAGTGAGTGAGAGGCGAGTTACCTTTGCCAGGTGAGTGAAAGGCGAGTTGCCTCACACAGGTAACAGCTGAGTGAGTGAGAGGCGAGTTACCTTTGCCAGGTGAGTGAAAGGCGAGTTACCTCACACAGGTAACAGCTGAGTGAGTGAGAGGCGAGTTACCTCACACAGGTAACAGGTGAGTTAGTGAGTGGCGAGTTACCTCACACAGGTAACAGCTGAGTGAGTGAGAGGCGAGTTACCTTACACAGGTAACAGCTGAGTGAGTGAGAGGCGAGTTACCTTTGCCAGGTAACGAGTGAGAGGCGAGTTACCTCACACAGGTAACAGATGAGTGAGTGAGAGGCAGGGTACCTCACACAGGTAACAGCTGAGAGAGTGAGAGGCGAGTTAACTCACACAGGTAACAGCTGAGTGAGTGAGAGGCGAGTTAACTCACACAGGTAACAGATGAGTGAGTGAGAGGCGAGTTACCTCACACAGGTAACAGCTGAGTGAGTGAGAGGCGAGTTACCTTTGCCAGGTAACGAGTGAGAGGCGAGTTACCTCACACAGGTAACAGGTGAGTGAGTGAGAGGCGAGTTACCTCACACAGGTAACAGCTGAGTGAGTGAGAGTCGAGTTACCTTTGCTAGGTGAGTGAAAGGCGAGTTACCTCACACAGGTAATAGCTGAGTGAGTGAGAGGCGAGTTACCTTTGCCAGGTGAGTGAGAGGCGAGTTACCTCACACAGGTAACAGCTGAGTGAGTGAGAGGCGAGTTACCTCACACAGTTAACAGCTGAGTGAGTGAGAGGCGAGTTACCTCACACAGGTAACAGCTGAGTGAGTGAGAGGCGAGTTACCTCACACAGGTAACGAGTGAGAGGCGAGTTACCTCACACAGGTAACAGCTGAGTGAGTGAGAGGCGAGTTACCTTTGCCAGGTGAGTGAAAGGCGAGTTACCACACACAGGTAACAGCTGAGTGAGTGAGAGGCGAGTTACCTCACACAGGTAACGAGTGAGAGGCGAGTTACCTCACACAGGTAACAGGTGAGTGAGAGGCAAGTTACCTCACACAGGTAACAGCTGAGTGAGTGAGAGGCGAGTTACCTTTGCCAGGTGAGTGAAAGGCGAGTTACCTCACACAGGTAATAGCTGAGTGAGTGAGAGGCGAGTTACCTCACACAGGTAACAGCTGAGTGAGTCAGAGGCGAGTTACCTCACACAGGTAACGAGTGAGAGGCGAGTTACCTCACACAGGTAACAGCTGAGTGAGTGAGAGGCGAGTTACCTCACACAGGTAACAGCTGAGTGAGTGAGAGGCGAGTTACCTTTGCCAGGTGAGTGAAAGGCGAGTTACCTCACACAGGTAACAGCTGAGTGAGTGAGAGGCGAGTTACCTTTGCCAGGTGAGTGAGAGGCGAGTTACCTCACACAATTAACAGCTGAGTGAGTGAGAGGCGAGTTACCTCACACAGGTAACAGCTGAGTGAGTGAGAGGCGAGTTACCTTTGCCGGGTGAGTGAAAGGCGAGTTACCTCACACAGGTAACAGCTGAGTGAGTGAGAGGCGAGTTACCTCACACAGGTAACGAGTGAGAGGCGAGTTACCTCACACAGGTAACAGCTGAGTGAGTGAGAGGCGAGTTACCTTTGCCAGCTGAGTGAGAGGCGAGTTACCTCACAGGTAACAGGTGAGTGTGTGAGAGGCGAGTTACCTCACACAGGTAACAGCTGAGTGAGTGAGAGGCGAGTTACCTCACACAGTTAACAGGTGAGTGAGAGGCGAGTTACCTCATACAGGTAATAGCTGAGTGAGTGAGAGGCGAGT